AAAATTTATATTTATTTATAGCTTAGATTTTCGAGAAACTACATATAAAATTTCAGGCTTTTGGCACTGATAGATCTCAAATGATAATAAATAAAAAATTTCTGATTAATTTTCGAAAATAAAAGATCTTGACAAGTGATTTTTTAACGATTGCACCAAAATCTACATAGCATTATGTTTTGAAATTTTTATATGTGATAGTCTAAGATCATTGGAATCTCAAAAAAAAATAAAAATAAAAAAAAAATTTTTCTACGTAATTCTATTATTTTTTTTTTTTTTTGATAAATTTTTAAACAACACAAAAATGACTAATTTAACTGAAGCTGCTTTAGTTGAAGAATGGAATAAAATTCCGGATGATGTTTACTTAAAATTAGTTGAAAGTATGCCTTGTAGAATTGAAGCATGCGTTGCAAGTAATGGATGGCCTACCAAATATTAAATTTTAAATGTATATATTTAAATGTTGATGTTGTCAAAAAATTCAAAAAATTGATCTTCAAAATTTTTATTTTCGAAAATTAATCAGAAATTTTTTATTTATTATCATTTAAGATCTATCAGTGCCAAAAGCCTGAAATTTTATATGTAGTTTCTCGAAAATCTAAGCTATAAATAAATATAAATTTTTTGTGTAAATATTATGTAGTATTTTGCGTAATTAATGAATTTAGGGGGTCCGAAACTTTTGGGTAAGTACTGTATCAAATAAATAATAAAAATAAGACTAATAATATAAATAAAATAACGACGAGGTTACTACGGATTTTCGGGGTTATCGAACAGTGAATTAAGGTCCAATTCATGTTCCGGTGACAATATCAAAATGTTTCCTTCCTTCTCCATCAACAGTCATACTGTCTTGACATCTTCTTATAATTTATTTAATATTAATATTAATAATGATGATTATATGAATAGTGATCACTGTATATGAAAAGCCAAATGATATCAATTGTTTATCATGATAAGAATCCTATAAGTATCCAGTTCTGTTCTACATTTTGTTTATGATAAGATATTTTATATAAAATAAAAAAAAGAATATCAATAAAAAAAATTGTACCTTTCACTATCAATAAAAACACACATGTCTTTAGAACCAACAATATCATATCAAACAACATTCACGTTTGTCAACTTGGACTTTTCCAAAATAATAAAAAAAATTTTTTTTGAATGTGTCAACAATAGGGTTGTGCAATGTGATCATAAATAATTAATTGGTCATGCAACGTGATCATAAATAATTAGTTGTGACATGTTTATTATTATTTTTCAGAAAAATGCATCATCAGGATCAAAAGAAAGGTCACAAAATCAACCTTGTCAAAAAAGAAGGCAAGTGTTATTTTTAAAGAAATGATGGTGTTTATCACAACTTGTTATTCTATATAGTTATTTATAAACTTTTCTTGCTATTTAGTGTAGTATATGTTAGTGCATCAGGAAATTTTTTCTGATGTAAATTTATGTAATATTATGGGGCTGCCATAAACTTACGTAAATAGTGTAATATTATGCAAAAATTGCACAAAAATTACGCAATTATTACATTCAGTGTAAATATTACGTCCTTTTTATGCGAAATATTACAACATTTCATATTAAAACTTACGGATGTAATATTACAGTGGGAAAAGTTTCCTGATGTGATACTGACAGTAATTGTACAGGTGAATATAATGCAGATATCTTCGATACTCTATCTGATAATTCCAATACAACTATAATATTGTCAACAACAATAAGAAGAACTGACATTATATCAAAATTTCCACTAGAATTGTGTTGGCATATAATGGGATATTTGGATTTATTTAATATATGTCAAGCAGCCCAAGTTAGCAAAAGGTGGAGATGCATTGTAGATAGTGATAGATTGATGTGGAAATCGCTTTTGTTGTCAGATGGCTTTGATCTTGAAGAATCTGAAGAAATATGTGCCATATCAGAAAATTGGCACATTCCATATTTATTAATATCACCATATTATAATAATAAACTAGCACTTCCACCAATACAAAATAATCCATTTAAGGAAATATACCGTAGGAAGCAGAGTTGGCAAATTGACTGGTCCATTGAGAACTGATGGACTTTGAGCTGGTCCATTGCCATTAATAAAATACTAAATATAGTTAAAATGTTACACTAATGGACCAATGGACCATCAATGGACCACCAATGGACCACACATTTGCCAACCCTGGTAGGAAGTATATATCTAAGAATAGGAAATTAGAAGAATCAGATGTATCTCCTGATCTGGATTCTACTTATTATTGGTTGTATTCAAATTAGTATCAATATTAAACAAAAAAAAATTATTTTTACCAATTATTCAATAAGAATAATTGAAATATTGAATTATATAAAATTAGATAATTGAGTACTGTTTTCAAATCAAAATTTGTTAAAGGATAGATTTTTGTTGGTGAAAAGTTATTCTGAGAATACATGGAATCAAGTCCTTTATATAATTGTCAAGACAGCTTTTCTATTTCCATGTGAATTCCCTCATTCATTGCAAAAACTTTACAATTCACTTCCTTTATGGGACACCTTTGATCCCTGAAATTCTGGTAATACCAATGTTCACTTTGTCTGGTTTTGTTGCAGCATGCCCCATTTAATCCATAATGGGCTTGTTATCTTACAGATTTGTGGATTATGTGGGCCAGTTGATGATAAATCATCAAATAAAATTTATGGGATTGTACCATATATTACACTCAAGAAAAAAGAAAACAAGAGAATCAGATATTTATAGTGTTGGCATGTTAATGTAGATGTTTGCAGGCCATCCATCATTTGATGACAGAGCTCATAATTTTCATTTACAATTAAACATATGTGAGAGTTTAAGACCACCAATATTGTTAAGAATGCTGATGATTATGTAGAAGTGCTGGGATAGTAATTTATCCAAAAGACCAATTAATTATTGAGGAACTTCACGAATTTGCTAATAATAAATTAGAAGAACTTCATAAAAATGGAAATTTAAAAATAATATTAATGAAAAAATAATGGTAAATTAATTAATAGTAATATATAATAATAACAGTAATAATAATAGCATCATGAACAGTAACAGTAGTAGTAATCACAACAAACACACAAATCATATTATACAAGAATATTAGATGTTACTATATAGTTATAATCTTTTAAAAGCCAACATTTAGTGAAGTTTGACTTGAGTAAATTTGTATTTAGTCAGGTTGATTTTAGAAACTTGTTTATTTTTGTATCATAATGCTATTAATGATAATAATAATATGTTGTTTATCTTTTATAATAGATAAGTTTCTAATCTGCTTTTTTATTTCGGTCTAAACCAAAATTACTTCCTGCTAATTCACCAAATGATATAATCGCCCTGTTTGACTTACTATTTTGACTTGGAGTACTTGAAGATGATGTTTGATCTTGATCTCTACTAGATGGTGATGATGATGATCCAACAGTTGGTTCATCAGAATGAGGATGGTAAATTTTATTGGGGTTATTTGGATCCTGATCTTCAATAATTTGGTTTAATCTTAGTTCTGAGTCAATATTTTTTTGATGTTGAATATCATGAGAAGCTGTAGATGCAGAAAGATTAATGTTATTATTAGCATCCAAGTCAGAAAATTTATCTTTCTTTTTATCACTATCCATGCCCAATCTAGATCCAATAGTTCCATTTTGATTTGATTTGTCTTTTAATGATCTTTTAACTGGCAGCCATAAAATCGGCAAAGATCCTACCAACGAAGGATTTCTGTAATCTCTCATACCAGTATTGAGAATACCTTCAGTCAAAGACATTGGTGGTTGACTGTAATCTGTGTAGTAATCAGGTGCTGCATGATATAAATCATCTTCAAGAACATCACTATGAACGTTTCTTTTATCTTTGCCAGTAGATGATTGATCATTGGATAAATTTTCATCATTATCAATTCTTGCAATAGATTGTGATTTCTTTTCAGTTTCTACTAAATGTTGTAATGAAATAACTGTAGAGATATGATAATATGCTTGATTAACATAATAAAAAAATAGTGAAGTGATGAAAGGAAGAGGAATAGTGGCTAATGTTAAATAATAAGATTTCTTGAGTGAAAAATATCCAATCATCATAAGTTGATAAATATAAAGACCAACGATGATTCGACGAAATATTTTTGGCCATGCAAGACCAGCAGTTTCATAAGGATGAAAATAAACTTTTTTTTTAAATAAAGATATAAAAATAATTTATAACGATATTAATTATAAATTGTATTTTAAAAAAAATAAAAAAATAGAAAGGAAAGAAAAACTTACCATAAAGTAATAAATATTTGTATGTTATATAACCAAAGAAAAAATATATGGTACCAAAAAGAAGAATTATTGGAGCAATTGATGAATAAACCAATATAATCACAAAAATCAATATAATTTGTGGTAATTCTTCTCCATAATTCAAAAATGGAGGTGCACTGGCTTCAGCATAATCTCTTGGTGTTCTTGAATATATGACCCGCATTATCCATGCAAGTATTACATCACTAAGTTTCAATAAATGAAAAGGCACTATACCAATACCTTGAAGGGCAGTAAAATTAACAAAAAACGAAGAAACCTAATTAATTAACAGATTATGTATATAATAAAAGTTGATAAAAAAAATTAAGATTAGAAATTTTAAAGGAAATTAAAATAATAGTATAAAGTAAAATAATTTACTCTTGGTAGGGTAGTCGCTAATTTATTTGCGATTCCTGTAGGATCACGTATTATCTCCAACACTGAATTCAAAAATGAATCAGCTAACAAGAAAATAAGCAAAATATTAATTATCAAAAATAAGTAATATCTATAAATAATATTTATAGATTAGTTTAGAAGAATGTATTAAATAATAATGATGATTAATGATGCAATAATCTACCTACTTGGAAAATGTTGATAGTTCTATAACACTTCTAGCCCTCCACCCTTGCTGAATACTGAGAACTAATAATCATCAATAGATTTTCTTTTAATTAAAACAGTTTAGATTCTCTTATAATCACAGGAGTTACAACACAGTGATTTTTTGAAAAAATTGCGATTGTGATTGAGAAGTGTGATATAAACGAATTTTTATATGACGTGATTATTATGGGAATTTAAAAGAAAGAAAAATCAAACCCACCACTCATTATCCTTGGAACTATAGCAAAAAAAGTGGTAACACCGAGGGTAGGAAGGATGGATTGAATGGATGCTTTTATATATTTATTTTTTTCAGCAAGTCTAACCAACCAAGGGAGTATTTTTTCCAAAGTTTCCAATTTCAAAAAAGTAGCAAAAAAAGCAACAGGTGTAATCCAGAAAAATGTCAAAACGAAAATAAAACTATTAACTAAAAGTGTGCGTGAAATTATCTCCCTTGTTTTAATGCCAAGATGTTGCCAATATCTATCATTTATTTCAGACAATATATATATATGTATTAATTTTAATTCTGACTTCAATTTTCATACTTAAAAAAATCAAAACATTTATTACAACATACATATCACGAGGTTCTGGTGCAAGTGAAGTGTAACAGGTAAAAGGTTCAGGTCGTATAAGAATTTGTGATGCTATTTGCTATAAATTTTTAAAAGATTAATAAGTATTAAATATATTAAAATAAATATATAAAAATATTATTTAATTTCCAACTTACTGCGCTAACTATACTTTTAAAGGTCACGAAACCAACCGAAGATGATGAATATGCTCCACGTCTGCCTCTTTTTACCAATTCATCATATTGTTTAAATAGGTTTGTGTAATAATTTATTTTATCAACTTTTTGACCAAATAAACTTGTTCTCATAGTCGGTCTTTTTTTTTTGATCTTTGAAAAAACAGGATGTTCACTAAAACCATCACTATTAATACTTAATGGCTGTTCCGAATTTAACGATTTCTCGAATTCTTTGTATAATTCATCTGGATCATAGTTAGGATCTAAACAAGGATTGCCTAACCATTGAACATATGCAAGTTCTAGATTTTTCAAATATTCTGTTCGCAAACCTATTGCATATCTCAATTTACGAACATGTCTATAAATAACGGCACTTTCTATCTCTCCTAATTCTAATGATTCAAAAAAATCTGCAAGCTTTTTATCGAATTGTAAATTTTTTGGTATACCTGTTACTATTACAGTTCTAGTAGCAATGGTATCTTTCCGTTTTAGATAATAATGATGTCGAACATGCGTAAATTCTTTATAATTATAAAATGAGAAATAAAAGGTTGCAAGAGAAAAAACCCATGTAAATATAGCATAAGCTACCAAAAAACTTTTTGAGTCTGGTGGTTTATCACCATCGCCATGACCATCGTCATCAAATTTGAAATCATTATCGTCAAAAAAATAGCTTGCAATGCCAATTGGAGAAAGTACTATTACACTAAAAAGACCACAAAAAAAAAATAATTTATAGGACATTTTGAAAAAAGACAATAACTAGGAATTATGAAAAATTAAAATAAATAAAAAAAATATACATATGTTATTGTTATTATAATAACTATAATAACTGTTATCGTAATTGTTAAAACATCAAATCACAATTTACATACCACAGCAGCATCTAGACCTACACGATCTAATATTTCCACTTCTGAAATTCTAAGCAATGGACCAATCCATCCAAAGAAACTTGATGGAAGAGGATCTGGTGCAATTCTTTAGTAATAATATAAAGTATTGAATAAATAAATTATTAATTTTAGTATTGAAATTAGTGATGAAATTTACATACCCTCTTAGTCTAAGCCTAGGTGAATACATAGAACTCCATCGAGTTCTCAGGAAACAAAAAAGAAGAAAGGAAGTAGAGCCAATTGCAAATGAGAAGATAAGTTGAGTGGTTAGAAGGACACGCTTGCCTACAATAACAATATAAGTTATTATTTGATGACTGGTAGACACTTTTTTAATCTACAAGATGTTCTTTTCCTTACTGGCATTTTCTATTGAATCTCCAGGTACTAAGTAATAGTTTAGAAAATTATTAAAACTGTTTGAAAGTTTGTCTTGAATAGAATCGTTTCCTTCCATTGCTGAATACTAATTTCGATCTAGAAATTTTGAAATTGATTATCTTTTTGATTTTCTATGCATTTTCCAATAAAAGTTTGTGCATCTCCTATTAAAGCAGGACCCTAACGATCGTGCAACTAGTACATAATTATCTGCAGGAAATACTAATTTGATTGGATAATTTCCAATCTGCATTAAAGGGTGGTATTGGGGTTGGTCACAACGGTTGATCAATAATAAATTTTTTTTAAATGACATCATTTCGCTCTGATGTGGTGCATGGTTTTAAAAAAAACCGGTTCGAACTCGGATTTTGAACCGGTTTTTGGTTTAGGTTCGGTTCGGTTTTTGAACCGGTTCGAATCGGTTTTTTTGTGAAACTAAAATCTCTACGTTTATTGGCCAGGTTATTATATCACGTGAAAATGTAATACGAAATATTATTAATTATTATGTCAAAGATGTAAAAGAATAGCTATCCTTTTTATATTAGTTGGAAAATGATAAACAAGATGAGTAGGTGCCATGTTTATTTTTGCAACTTGCCTTTTTTCCAAATTCAATTCACCTTTTCAAATTGATTATCACTATAATGCGCAGTACAAAACAAAAGATGAGCAGCAATATTACTATTATACAATTTGAAATGAAATGACTTATTTTTTCAAATTGAGAATGTGGAAGCAACACAATCAAAAATAACTACTTCTATTACTATGCTGCATTCAATTCAACTCTTCTCCAAACAACTTATTTTGTTGATTTTTTTCCATTTTAAGTAACATATCATTATTATTATTATTATATATATAACCTAAGATGATTATTTTTGAATGAAAATGATTTGTTTGTTCAAGTTCATTTAGGAAACATAATTAAAATATGTTGTATACAAAGAATGATCTGCATGTATAATCTATAAAAAGTTTTTGCAATAAACTGGTTTCGCTGAACCGAAACCGAACCGAACCGCCCCATCCCTATCCGTCACGTCACTAAATTTATTATTTGATGATCAGCAAGCATCACAAACACCTATTTGATTGACTAAATTGTCAATTTGTCAGCCATTCTTAATTGTTACACTACTGAATTTGAACACATTTAGTAGTATTCGGATTAATATAATACCTAATAAGTCAGACACACAGTCAACTGTTGACCAACTTATCGAGTTTACATGCATGTGCATTAATTATAAATATTTACATTATTTATTCTTCCCTTTTTTATGTTATGGTTTTTCATGTTATTTATTAATTGAAAATATTAATGCAGGAGCTAAAAAAGAATTATTTATAAAAAAATTAAAATGAAAAAGCAGTGGGAGTTGTTTATTTTTATTTGCTATTTTATTCATTTACGTAGAGATAAAGTAAATAATAATAATGTGACCTCAATTAAGTTAACAATAGCACATAACATTTATTATTCAATAATTTGTTATGCTGAATTGTTCAATGACTATTTATAATAATAATAATGATAGGTAAAAGAGAGTATCATCAAATGTTTGTTGACATGATAATGCAACAGCAATATTAATATTAATGGTGGCATGCTGGAAACTACAGGAATGTTGATGATAATAATAATTTGAATGGCAAGAAGATGATAAAAGTCAAGTTAAACCAAAAAAATCAATCAAATAAAATTTAAGTTCAAATTTAAATTTAGATATAAAAAATCAATTAAATAATTGTATAATGTCTTTATTACTCTTTCTCTATCATCAATTATTAAAATTTAGTCATTTTTATGCATTGTATTACAGTGAGAGTCCTTTAATTGGAAAATTGACTCCTTGTGGCTTTTTTTATTTTTGACTTTTTTAAATAAATGATGAAAGTACATGTGTACTATGCATAGATTGTAAGGCACCATACTGAATTTTTGAACTTCGAATTTTTGGTATGTAGAAATGCACCCAATGAATTAAGGATACCAGCTGCAACTCTTGATGATGGTTGCTACCATCTTTGTGTCATATAAACTGCTGGTTTCAACCACCTTTACAACCATTTTGTTTCCTTTTTTGGATTGTGACATGGAACACTACAATGAATAATACTCACTGAGCATTGATCAATATGTTTTAAATAACTGGATTAATATTTATTATTTATTATTATGAATTGGGTTCTTTTTATTTTTCCAAAGACAATAAAAAAAATTTATCTATAATGGTAAATTTATGCATTTTTTTTTCAAACCATTAAGGCTTTTCTTATTCATTTTATTCACTTTATTTGCTTTATTCAAATTCAGATAAAATGATTGAGTCATAATATTTCATTTGTCAATATCAATTGAAGATTTAGATTGGGAACCACATTGGAACGTTCTAATAGTGTTACAATATTTAACAACACAAAAATATAATTGTTATTTTTAGGTTTGAAAATTTGGCACTTGATACAGCATTTGATGTCTTTAGATAGTGTGCACTATAATTTATTAACTTAATATGGTAATACATATCATGTATCACAGTTAAAGTTGCTTGCTGAAACTCTGCCAAAACTCTAATAAACAATTAGTGTGTAACCTGCCAAAACTTTGCCAATTGTCAAAAACCCCAAGTGCAAAATTCTGCCAAAACAATTAGTGTGTAACCCACTGAAATTCTGCCAATTGATTTTTGGATGAGCAACCATAATTACAACGTGAATCATCTATACCTGAAAGTTAAAAAACATTCAATTCAGCTTTAAAAAAAGGGAGTCAAGCAAATTTGTTTCATGTATTTTTTAAATTTGAGAGTTATGCTCAGAAACAGTGAAGTGTAGAGTCTGAGCTCTCTATACTGAACCACCTGTCTCTTATAAGATTGCTTGCTGAAGCCTCTTAATGATTGCTGAAACTCTGTTGAAATTCTAATAAACAATTAGTGTGTAGCATGTCAAAATTCTGCTGATTGATTTCTAGAGGAGTTTTAGAAACAACCATAGTCCCTCATATGCAATTTTCCTGCTTTTGTATGTTATAGAGAGTGTTTATTAAGGTGCTTGATATAGAGTGAGAAATTAATTATAAAATTTGAATTGGGGACAAAAGGGGGACAAAATGAAAGTTCATTATAGAGAGATTTGATATAGATGTATAAATTCATACAGATTTTTTGGCATGTAATGTCAACAAAACCCATGTTACTAAATGCGCACATTTTTGTTAATTAGCAAATACATCCAAATTTGAAATCAGAATATATGCCACTTTGTCAATCAATTTATATGTGATTTATATGTCACAAATGAATTAACATGATATTTTGTACTTTAAAAAAGCCACCCTCCTATTATAATAATAATAAATTTAATCCTTTATATTATTTATTATTATTTACTAACCATAAAATTTAATTATTTATCATCTCTTAAAAAAAATCAATTCTTTATCCATTTTTTTTTTGTTAACACAAAGAAAAAGCATTTTAATTTAATAATGTCGCACAATTTTTATTGAACAACGATCACGTGAAAGTCATGGGAGTGCACTTAGAGAGGGAGTTTTATATAGATGGGAATAAAAAAAGACCGTGCAGTGCAGGTGGAAGGAGGTGTGCACTTAGAGGGGTTGACTGTACAACAGGAACATAACAAATTTTTTTTGAGAAACAGTCCTTCAAAATTATGTTACACGTGTGTTTTTGATATTTATATTAAATTTTCAAAGTCTTTATTGTGCTAAGCAAACATGGTCTGTTTTTCTCACCAGTGTAATCCTTGTAATATAGATATATTATGCAAAAAACTCAATTTTGGACAGAGAGGACCCTAATCACATTTTCCTAGAAATCCCCCCATATAATAATAACAATAAGTGTCATCCAATGTATAATTTAATTGATCATGTTTTATTTCTCTTTAAAATTATTTTCAGGCATAACATCCATTCAACATATATGCTTTAGTTGATGGTAATAATAATATATAATTCTTATTGTGAACTCAAAAAAAAAACAGATCTATAGTCAAACAATGGATTATAATTCTTATAAAATATTGTATTGTTACACGGTCATTAAATATTATCTTATTCAAATTATTTGTTTTATTCATTCTGTTTGAATGAAACTTATTTAATAAACCTTTAATTCAATTTAAATATTAAAATTAATGAATAAATATAAACTTTCAAAATAGAATACCAATTTGGAAATTGATATTTGCATTAGCCACGTCGATCATTATTTAGAAATCCCAAATTTGGGAAGAGCCTTGCGTCTTTACAAAAAAAACAGGTTGAGAAAAGTTCCGGATTTTTTTTTTCCTTTCATAGTAATAATGATGGTTGAACGGATTTTTCCGCACAAATTTTTAGTTACACGGGAGAATTCAATGTGCGGAATGTGCGGGTGTAACATCGTACATTAGTAGTTTTCTGCAGATAGTTTCTAAATTTGTAGAAATCTGCATTAGTTACACACTGAAATTTATACAATGCGCGGGGCTTTCTAAATTATATTACCAAATTTGGTAATTGATTTTTATTGTAAAAAGAGCTCATTAATTTTTATTTTTCTTTTTTGTTATTAGTAAAAAAAATTTGTTACACAAAATTTACTTAGTCTCAATTTCTTAAACATTTGGAATTTTCAAAACGCTAAGGTTCTGCCAATTTTTAGTTTAAGAAAAAACTAGCCGATAAGTATTGAAGCTTGAGTCATGGACAATAAAAATTATCGATTAACTTTTTTAAAATGATATAAAAATTTTTTGTTTTAGCATTGTTACTATAATATATAAGCAATTAATTGATTATTGTGATCTGCACCGTACATCATTACTACTACTGGTTAAAAATTCCATTTATTACCATCGCCACCTTCTTTCACTTATCATTATTATCAGTCACTGGACAGTTTCAGAATAGCGTACTATTATAAATGTTGTTACTGAATGGCTTCATTTTATAGAAAACCGGAACTATATCGATTTGTACGATACTTCACAATGATACTGTGGTATTTATTGTTATTATAAACGGTGCAATCAGTATGATGATAAAATGAAATGACGAAAACTTTTTTTTCATTTAACCGCATCATCGGTTTATGTTACATCAACTTTTCTAAACTTTAAATTGTCATCGTACTCACCACTAGCAGTTGACCGTTTATAAAAAGTTACAAAGTTCAAAAAAGGCTTATTAACGAAGTTAAAGATAATAATAATTCATAAGCGTTGCTTACTTTTAGCAGTTGACCGTTTATAAAAAGTTACAAAGTTCAAAAAAGGCTTATTAACGAAGTTAAAGATAATAATAATTCATAAGCGTTGCTTACTTTTTTTAGATAATTGAATATTTTTTGGGCGTGCGTGTTAATAATCAAGTTAGACAAATTTAAGGTTTGTCTCTCAGTATATACAATAAGAATATTTCATAATGTTACATAAGAAACCATTATTCAAACAAAGAATTTGGTTATGATTTAAGATCTAATTTAGATTGTACTGGGATAGTGTATCCAAGAATAATAGCGCTCAATGAGCCAATTAATTCATAATGGTGATGTCTACAAACGACCATTGTTTTTTTAATTGGCTTTTTTCTTTCAATTAATCCGTTCTAGATTCGTTGAAAATTTTATTTGACATATATGTACATATTAATAATACTTCAAAAAAAAAACTTGCAATAACAATTTGAAAGCAAAAAATTGGGGTCTTTAAAATCATATTAATATTTTAAATAAATTTTTCTTTACAATCTTTGTTTTTATTATGATTTTAATAAATTCCCTTTTTATTTTTTTTAGAAAAAATTAATTATTCGCAAGTTTTAAATATTCGAGTCATTAAATATATTTTACGCAACACATATGGATCCTGAATTATCATTATATATCGATAAAGCACAACTTGACGATGACGAAACTCGCCTCATATTCAATCCTCCTTGTAAAATCTATTCACAAATAAGTGGATTTATATCGCCTAATCCTAATAATGTTAATTCCATAGGTATCCCAAAATCACAAAACTCTTTTTTCTTATACCGCAAAAATTATACTGCTAAACATAAATCTTCTAGGAGTAAAAAGGATTGGAAAATACTTTCAAAGGAAGCTGGCAATGCCTGGAGTAATGAATCGAACGAAGTGAAAAATTACTTTAAAGTATTAGCAAAACTAGCTCTTCAAAAACACAAATTAACTTATGAAAATATACTATTAAAAAATTGTATTTTTATTTCTCAACAACCAGAACTACAACAAAAACAAATAGATAATAATAATTTTTCAACTTCGCTATTACCTTATCCACATTCTTCTTCTTTCTCTTCAACTTATCGTTACACGAACGATAATACAAGTTCGTCTTATCAACGACTAAAGCTACAACAAAAGCAAAAGGATCATTTAAATAATAACGATTGTGCACCTTCATCGCCTCACCCGTATTCTAAATTTTCTTGCACAAGCGATAATACAAATTCGCCTCATTTTATGACTCGACAGCCGAAAATAAGACAAAAACACGAAGATAACCTTCATAATAACGATTCAACATCATCACTTTATTCACATTCTAATTTTTCTTGCGCCAATGATAATACACATTCGCCTCATTTTATGACCCAACAACCAGAACTAAGACAAAAACAAAAGGATGACTTTCATAAAAACAATAATAAAGATTGTGAATCTTCATCGCCTCATCTACATCCTACTTTTTCTTACACAAGTGATACCTCGCTTCATTTTGTGGCTCAACAACCAGTACTACAACAAAAACAAAAAAATAATATTTATAAAAACAATAATAACGATTCATCGTCAGAACCTCATTTACATTCTACCTTTCCCTATACAAGTGATAGTACAAACTCGCCTCATTTCGTAGTTCAACAACCAGAAATACAACAAAAACAAAAAGATAATTTTTATAAGAAAAATAATAAAGATTGTGTAGTTTCATCGTCACCACCTCATCTGCATTCTACTTTTTCTTGCACAAATTTGCCTCATTTTATGACTCAACAATTAGAATTGCAACAAAAACAAAAAGAGGATCTTCTTCATAAAAACAATAATAACGATTGTGCAATTTCGTCATCATCTTACCCATATTCTACTTTTTCTTATAAAGATGATAGTATAATCTCGCTTCGCTTTGCGACTCAACAACCAGAAATACAACAAAAACAAAAAGACGAGAAAAATAATAACGATTGTGTAGTTTCATCATCGTCTTATCCACATTTTATTTCGTTTGATTTTGATACTAATGCTGATTGGAATACAATTATTGACTACTTCCGATTTTAATGTTAATGTTATTGGAATTCATTTATTGATTTTATTCTTATGAAAATATGAAAATATGAAACAAACAATATTTTTTGAATCGATAAATAGATATGATAGCTTGTTATAATGGCGAATATATCATCTCAATAGAAATTTGGTTAAAATAATTAAAATTTATTTTTATAATATAATTTTACATTTTTTTGCAACACTTCTAATATTTTTTCTTGTCTCTATTGTCTTCATTAAGCCAGTTTCATTGTAGCAGTTACAAAATACAAGTCTAATGATAATATTTGGTAAGTTATACTTAACTTTGAGTGTACATGAGGTCGAGGAATGGTAAAAAGCAGTAAATTTTAATAGATACTACTACACAGTGAGTCTCGGTATAATGGATATTTAACTAGTACAAATTTAAAAACTATCTGCATAAAATTGAATTTGTTTTGGTATTTTTGCAGATAGTTTTTAAATTTGTACTATCGTTGGCTCGGTCTAAAGACCTCCTATTGCTGCGCCACGCGTTCAAATTTCAAAAATTGCAATTTCGTGATTCATTCAAAAATGCAATAAATTTTTTTAAAAAAGGGTTACACATGATTTTGGTTAAAAAACTATTTTCCTTACTGCCAAA